ACCCTCAAAGGGAGAAGTCAGACTTGATGATCAGGTCATACAAAGGTTTTGAAGCACTTTTTCCACCTCATTCAGAAATCCAGATACAACAGCCAGCTCTCAAGGACATTGCTTGGCTTTGAGATATGCCCTGAAGAGCTACAGTAGGTCCAGAAATCAATGAGTAGCTTGAACCGCATCATAAACACACTGTAGGCTTTCACCTGTGACAGCTATATTGAGGATAATTTCATATTACTTAAGTGCTTCAGAACAATCATGTGTGAGAAGATGCAATAATGTGAGAGTTGTTTGTACAAAACCACAGAGCCCGTTTCAGCATTGTAGGATACTTAGCAAGTTTTGCTCTTTGCTGATGAGTAATGCTGCAAGCCAAGCAATGCTGCAGCTCCTACAGCTACATTGTGTTTGTGTATGTCAAGTAAACAGCACTGGTGGGAGTGATGGGTGGTTTCGGGAATGTGTAGCAATCTCCTGCTTGCACTGGGCAGGAATTTTGAATTTTGGGTCATTCAGAAGAGGGGAGGAAAATGGGACACAGTGAAGAGCAGAGCAAGAAGACTACACCTTCCCCTGGTGTTTCCACCTTTCAAGCTCAACAGGGATTTCCCCTCTCTTCCCATGTGTGGGGGACCCTGGGAACCCAAGGTACAGTAGGCCACTTCAAGGCATGGCCCATGGAAATTATCAGCACCCTTGGAAAAGCCAGCAGGATCTGATTAACTGAGCAAGAGAGGTGAAAGAAAGCGTGTGTGTCACTCTTGTTAACCTTGCTCCTGTATTTATATCTCCTACATTCACCTATCAGCAGGAAATCTCTTTTGCTACTGTACAAAAGGAATTTCACTCTGCTTTGTGGTCTGTACAGCTTATAGTTTGATGATCCTCCCTCAAACAATCATGAAAATGCTCCTAAACTATATTGCTGTGTAGGATTCAAGGAATATTGTGATATAGGGATAAGTATGTCTGTGATACCTGATAGGAAGAGATATATAGTTTTACATTTGTAGGATTATAAGGCACAATTTCTATCAGTTGTTACCAGTCAGCATCCTAAACACACAGAGAGTAAAAGGTGAACAGGATTCCTGTAAGGCCTACAGCCCACTTAAGAAACAGGTTTGCAAAGGACACAATTTCAAATTTAGCTTTAAAAATCCTACTAATATTTTTTAATAAAGAAATTTGTCTCCACTCTTAGCTCTAGGTCAAAGGTTTTGTTTGAAAATTTGAAATTAAAGAGAGAATAACTAAATGAGGTGATGAAATTCATTGAATGACTCATTCAAAACGTTTCTGTGGTGAAAAGTTTCATCCCATCATTCCTCAAAGCAGCATTGCACACTAACCTGACAAGTATATGGTGCACACAGCAGTCCCTTATTGCTCAATTTCATTTCCCTACGGTGTCTGGTTAGCAAGCAATAGCCAGGAGATGCCATCCCCCTTAACTCAGTGTAAGTAGCAAAGCAAATTCTCCTCCCATTGTCTTGTCTTTAAGGCGAACTCCTTCAACTCCAATCAAACTAACTGTTCACAAGACACTTTGATCCCCAGCATGTACTCCCAGCACATGCTGAATAATGCCAGATTTTGCTCCCATAAACAAATCCCAACAAGTGCCACTGTACTGTCTCCAGTCTTGTCTGGCAGCAGTCAGCCCAGGCAGGATCTGAGAGAGTTGTTTCACTTCACACACAGCTCTCAGTGAATGCCACCATCTGCTTTTAGGTGGTTAAACAACCTCTACATTGGGTCTGAAAATATCCATCAAATCCTGCAGCTTCTGACATGGGATAATTTCAGCTTTCTGTTACACCAGCCTTGGCCAACTGTGATAGACTTGCTCTAGACTTATACGAGTGGGAAAGGGAAGAAGTCTGATCTGTGGTGTTTCCTTCAGAAGGGCTCAGGGCCAATGATCCTTCTGCACTCCAGGCCCCATGCACAGACCCTCATTCTCTAAATTGCAATGACAGTGTAAGGGAGCACATGGTGACCTGGGTCATTCAATCTACCCAAGTCTACAAAAAAATGCAAAGAGAAAGGTAGGGCAGGGAACAGTTTTAACCTACATCAGCTTTTTCTCCCAGTTTCAGCCTATAGCCTGAAAACTCCATGCAGCCAGTTTCTCTATTCAGGAGAAACTGATTCAGAACAGCAAAGGCATCCAAAATATTAATTCCTGCTATATTCAAAAATACAATACTGATGACAGTTGGTTATCATACACAAGAGCAAGAGATGATACAGACATAGTAACTCTGACATCATTTTCCAGTATTACTGAAGAGTGATTATTCTTCAGATGAAGAAATCACATAATATGTCTAAAACTAGGCTACTGCAGCAATCTTCAGACTTTTTAGATCAGATTGGTGTTCTAAACACACTTATTTTCTAACTTTTTGCTGCACACCAGTGACAATAATTGCATGATCATAGTTACAACCCAGATGTGGTTGTTTATGGTACTTTTCAGCAGATGGAAAGGTTACTTAAAGGTATCAGCTTTATCCCAGAAGAGCTGCAGAAACTAGGACCGGCTTCTTTGCAGGCATTTAGAGGGTATAAATATCCACAGGCAACAGGTATTTATTTCTACGCCTGCAGGTAAAAACAAGTGGTAATAGTAATTGCAAAGCAATACATTTCTAATTGCAATAGATCATACCCTTCAAGGCTAGACTTCGAGATTAGTTTCTGAGTCCTGAAGCATACTAAACAGCTCTTCTAGCAAGATGCAGTGTGCTTTCAGCAACATAAAAGAAGGAAGTATACAATACCTGCTTAGAAACACACACACATGAAAATGAGTTTAACACTTCCACATACCAGCTATAGAAGCTTGCTCAGATAAAATCCACATGAAGAAAAATGTGTTATTTGTTGCTGACTGTATAGCATTGTCCACTGTACCTCCAATTCATCACCAGGATGCATAGAATTTGCCTCCTGACACAGGGAAACAGCCACAGCACAGGTGCTGCCCTGCTCAGTCACCACACACAGACTTTGCTGACAGCTGTACAATGGCTGGAGCCCACTGCCAGCAAGAGCTCAGATCAGACTACAAGTGCTCACTCGTTAAGCCAGGGCCACTTGTACCCTCCTAGAAAAAAACATAGACCTGAAGCGTAATTATTAACTTGTACAAATCTGCTTTTGTGTTTTTGTAAAGGTTATGAGATAAGCAGTTCTTTTCTGAAAACTCCAGGAGAAAGACTCCTTAAGAATCTATTTATTCAGTTTTATCCTAAAATTGCATGCCTTATATACCTTACTAGGACTCACCAGGGCTATCATTTGAGGTTTTCATTTAAGTACTTCTCAGAATTAAAAAACAAAATCATCCTTCTCTTGTGTTTACATCCTCCCAGTTTGTCCCTCATAGTGCTTATTAAGCCAGTTGAGCTGAAATATTTTTGTCTACTTTCGGTTTTTTGCTGCACTCCTTTCAAACTTTTTTCTGAAGAAGTCACTGTCTAGAGAACTGAGATCTTGTAGCACCAATTAACTACAAGAAAACCATGACTCAAACCCAAAATACTTTATTTTGAAGGACAAGTTTAGTACCACATTGCCTCCTTGCATTCTGTAACATCACTGTGCCTCATATGGTGGGAAAGTCCTGAGGTATCAGGCAATTTTCAAGAGAATGAATGGTGAATCACAGAAACTTTAGGCAGAGCCAGAACACAGCTTATCTGACAGGACAAAATGAAAATCAACTGACCTGCATCTCCCAGGAAGCACTGATAGATGTGGACTCAAGGGAGAAGGAGGCAAAGACAGTAATAGAGACTAAAGTGTTTTTACTGCCCTACTAGCTTCTGCCTTTGCCCTTTCCTGGCCTTTCCCTGGTGCCTCGTGTTCCACCCTCATGCTGATGGCTCACACTCTCTTGCTGCACACCATTGCAGCCCCTTGCTGGCTCTCTGACTCTAAAGGCAAGTCGAACTCAATGCAACAACTCTGCAAAAGGGTTTGTGTCAAGGTGTGCACATGCACACGTGTGTGTGTCTGACACACCTTCCCAGCTTGGATGCCTCTGAGGCCAATCCCTTTGCAGGACTCAAGGCAAAGGGCACGTCCCTGCACAGGGGAGCCAGCAAGGCTAAGCCATCCTGGTCCCTTACAACTACATGAACAGGGCAGAGTATCTCCACTGGAAATGTTTCCATATTCAAGCACACACTGCTTAGAGGAAACACCATTTTCTGTGGAAAGCACGTGCCCATTGCAAATAATAAAGGAGTACTTTAGCAAAAATCCATTTTTCTGTAACATGGCAGGTTTTCATTCAGACCTACTCAGAACTTATTGACAAATCTCAGGCCAGGCTTTCACTAATTCCTTCAGGCTGTATCCATTTACCCTGTGGAATCAGAGTGTCAGTGCACCCTCACGTCAACCACGTTGCCCTTCTCTGGACCTGGCCCAGCTGTGTGCACTGGCCAATGTGCATGTAGAGCTTCTCTGCAGCTTCCAGACTTCCCAGGGGAACTTTGATGGGGAAATAAGTGTTCTTTAGCTTACTGGTGACTTCCAAAGATATGAAGGGGGAAAAATTGGAGGAAAAGGAGACACCAAAATCTTCAGCACACTGGGTTGGCTCAAGGCAAACAGGAGCATGACTTTTGATGCCATCTCTCACAGTTCCCTTCTGGACAAAATGTCCAGTACACAAATGGACAAAAACATCATGCAATCATTGAGCAATTGGCTCACCAGTCTGATACAAAGAGTTGAAGTGAATAGGGTGACATCAGACTGGTAACTTGTCACTAGTGGGGTTCCACAGGGCTCCACTCTCAGTCCTGTGCTCTTCAATATCTTCTCAAACAACTTGAACACAGGACTGGAAGGGATACAGAGCAAGTTCCCAGATGATACAAAACTGGGAGGAGCTGGTGACTCCCTCAAGGGCAGGCAGGCCTTCAGAGAGACCTAAACAAATTAAAGGGTTGGGCAATCACCACTCATAAGAATTTCAGCGTGGGAAAGTGTCAGATTCTGCACCTGGGGTGGGACAACCTTGGGTGTACAGACAGTGGGGAATGAGGGGTTGAAGAGCAGTGCTATGGAAAGGGACCTGGGGGTCCTGGTCCATGGCAAGTTGAACACGAGTCAGCAGTGCCCTGGCAGCCAGGAGGGCCAACCCTGCCCTGGGGGGCATCAGGCACAGCATGGCCAGCCAGGCAAGGGAGGGGATTGTCCTGCTCTGCTCTGAGCTGGGGCAGCCTCACTTCCAGTGCTGGGGGCAGGTCTGGGTGCTGCATATAAATAAGAGGGGTATAAAGCTATTAGAGAGCATCCAAAGGAGGACCAAGAAGATGGTGAAAGGCCTTGAGAAGAAGCCATATGAGGAGTGGCTGAGGTCATTTGGTCTGTTCAGCCTGGAGGAGACTGAGAGGAGACCATTGCAGTTACAGCTTCCTTGTGAGGGGAAGAGGAAGGGTGGGCACTGATGTCTCATGACAGAACCCAAGGGTGTGGCCTGAGGCTGAGTCAGGGAAGGTTTACATTGGATATTAGAAAAAGGTTCTTCACTCACAGGGTGGTTGGGTACTGGAACAGGCTCCCCAGGGAAGTGATTACAGCACCAGCCCTGGTAGGGTTCAAGAAACATTTGGACAATGCTCTCAGGCACATGGTGTGGCACTTTGGGATGGTCCTGTGCAGGGTTAGGAACTGGACTGTATGTTCCTTGTAGATCCTTTCTAACTCAGCATATTTTATGATTCCCTCAGGAATTACCTCCACAACAAGTGGCAGCAGATCCCACTTGAGAAGCATCCATTATCACCATGGGGCAGACATGTACTCCCTCCTTCTTCTCCTCCACGTCCACTTGGGTAGTGGGCATTACTTTTTCCTCACTCAGCATAGCAATTTGCAGATAATAAATTATACTCAGAAGGGCCTATAAAATACAAGCAAAGCCAAATAAGAAACATAGCTCAGAAATTTATCTTAAAAAAAAAAAAGAAAAAAGGAAAGGAAACAAACAAACTACTGTAAAGGCTATGGAATTAAAACAATGTCTTTCCCCAGGTTCATGCTGAGCTCTAGGTGCATGCAACATTTCATGCAAATCAGATGTAATTTACTGTGTGATTTGTTTCTTCAATAAAAAAAGTGAGAATATGGAGAACAATAATTTTCCTACATTTTAGCTACACGTTTCCCCATAAATAGTGTAACTATTATAATGGCTTCTCACATGGGCTTGTAGAGTGATTGCCTCTGTGTGAAACACAGGCAGATCATTTCTTTATTGTGCTCAGGATGCCTCGGAGTTCAGCCGTGAGGGTATGTGTGTATGTGCACAAATACACAAGCACATGTATACTGGAGACAGCGCTATAGACGAGTATGGGTGCAGCATGTGGTGTATGCTGTGTGATCTGTGTCTGTGTTTGTGTCTCTGTGTAGCAACCATTTGGTTCTCACTGCTCCTCTTGTCCAGAACCACCATATTCCCTCATTTAATGTGGCACTGAACCAGCTCCTGGTGACAAACATAGGGCTACGACTACCACGGACTTCCCAAAAGTAAAGACGTTTTCCCTACAAATGAGAGAGATTTCATCAGTTGCTATGTGGGCACGTAGGAGTTGTCAGATATAAAATTCATCTGTAATTAGTAATACGTGGCAAGTAAATATAATAGTGTCAACATGCAGGGCTGTTGCTAACCAAAGCCACTGCAAGGCATAATTCATTTCCCACTCCTCCTAATATCTCAAACATGAGAGACAACGAAATGGTCAGCATGATGAGTCCTTCAGTTGAAAAAGGCCTGATTATCAGTCCAAAGACTTGAGGTATAAAAGAGGTATTGCAGACATGGCATTGTCATAATGTCACTTCCAAGGTGAAAAGCAAAGCATTAAAATTTTCTCAGAAGCATTTTATTCAAATTACTGGGTTTTATTAAAAAAAAAATGTGAAAAGTTAAATTGGGGCTTGGGATAAGGGAATTTTTGGGGGAGAAACACTTGTGTGAATATTTCCTAAAAGAAACCTTACCTACAATGTTGAAAAAGCAGGTACAAAACAGAACAAGATGCAAGGTTCTGAAATGTTTATTCCACCTCTAAAATAGACCTCTAGGATTAGAGACATACTCACATATACACAAGGTGTATGAGTGACAATGAATTTTTATAATAAGCCTGCATGGAATATAGAAGTGAGAAAAATAGGTGGATAAATTACAGTGAGTTTTTGATATTACTATATATTAAAGTATTTTATTGCAAATACTTCTGTGGCACTTACTTAGAAAACACAGGTTGGGTGTAAGGTTTGGGAGGAGGAAGTTATTTTGGTAAAGTAGAGCAGCTATTTTCCCAGCTGAATAGTAATGGGAGAATAATAAATTCTTGATTGCATTTTCTTGCTTTTTTGACATTGTGTTTTAGATTTGTCATTTGTATATATTAATACATAATCAGCTTTGCAATAAATTCTGTTTGTGAAACTATTTCCTGATGGTCTTGA